TATATAAAATATATATTTATGTGAATTCTTACGTTTTAATTGTTATGCATCAATATTATCCTGGTTTGGAGATCAAGTTTAATATTCCATGATATTTCCAGGTTTTTCATGGACTCACTATCTTTCTCTCTCTTTTCATCAGAACATCAACAGTTGCATTATTGCTTTTACAGTCGAGAGATCAGAGCATGTGTTATGTTTGCTGAACAATGAAATGAAAACATGAACCTGATCAACGGAACAGATCTAATCAGATATTGACGTTGTACTAATAGACTGCTGTGTGTGTGTGTGTGTGTGTCTCGACAGGCTCCGCGGATGGGAACGCTGATGGGCGTCTACCTGCCCTGCCTGCAGAACATCCTGGGTGTGATTCTGTTTCTCAGGATGACCTGGATGGTGGGCATCGGCGGCGTCATCGAGGCCTTCATCATCGTGCTCATGTGCTGCTCCACGGTCAGTCACACACCATGCAATAGAAATCTGAGATGAAAATGGACTTAACTTTGAAACATCTAAATGGTCTTTAAATTAAGCTTCATTTTTGTTATGCAAAACATAATTAATATAGTAATTAGTTCTTTTTATTCATATTTTGAATTAGCTTTTGTTTTTATAGTTTTCATCTTAATTTTATTTTAAGTAATTTTGTTATGTATCAGTTTGTCATTTTTATTAGTTTTTTTTTATATATATATTTCTAAATAGTTTAATGTATTTTTGTTTCAGTTTTAGTTTTATTTCAGTTAGAAATTTTAGTATTTCATACTATAATTATTATGAAAAACATTAGCTATTCCATGTTTTTTAATTAGCTTTTATTTTTATATTTTCAGTTTTTATTTTAATTTTACTTTAATTTTTAGTATTTTTATTTGCCAGTCTGTCATTTTTATTAGTTTTTGTTTTTAAAAAATATTTCTAAATATTTTTTTCCCAGCTTTAGTTAGTACTTTTTAGTTTTATTTCAGTGTCTAGTACTTCAACTTAAACTTATTTTGAAATTTTGGTTTGTTTTTTTAGTTTGTAATCTAATATTTATATTTTATTTTATTTCAGCTTCATGTCAATTAACAACATGTTTTTAGTAGTTTTAGTTAGCAATAACAATACTGCTTTTGATTCTGGGTTGCATTGTTCTTAACAGGTTTAGTGAGATACAAATTATTTTCAACTTGAGTATTTTCAGCCTCTATAAATCATTGCAAAATATACATTGAACAATTAAGATATCACTCTGCCACATGCACACAGCTTATGCAAGCATCTAATTACCATTGATTTTGATTTTGCATACCATCTCATTCTCAAAGACCCGCTGATTAACGTGCATGTGTTTCATCTGTGTGCAGGCCTCCTGCTGCACATATGTACATGTCACCGAGCAAACATGCACTTCAGCATACTTGCTCATTAGTGTGATTTGTATGTTTGCATGTCAAGTCACCTTTATTTATATAGCGCTTTTAACAATACAGATTGTGACAAAGCAACTGAACAGCATTAATTAGGAAAATAGTGTCAATAATGCAAAATGACAATAATAAACACTAATTTTTCAGTTAAAGACAGTTCATCATTGAATTCAGTGATGTCAACATCCAGCTCAGTTTAAATAATATCTTTGCAATCATGTCAACGATAATCGCTGGAAATGAAGTGTCCCCAACTAAGCAAGCCAGAGGCGACAGCGGCAAGGAACCAAAACTCCATCGGTGACAGAATGGAGAAAAAACCTTGGGAGAAACCAGGCTCAGTCGGGGGGCCAGTTCTCCTCTGACCAGACGAACCAGCAGTACGGAAAAATCAATTTAAGACGTAATAAAACAGATTGCAGGTTGCATGTGCAACCTTACATTCTCCAGCGCCCATGTAAGTGCTATTATTAATCATGAGCTCAGGCATCTCACTATTTTCTGTTTCGTCATCTCTCTTTCTCACATACACATGCTCTGGTTGAGTTTGGAATAGCATACTACAATACTACTCTCATAGTGTGAGATGCATTAAAATAGCCAATAAACTCACATCCACATTGAGGTTAAATCACATGCAGATCTTAAAGGAATACTCCACCCAAAAACAAATATTTGCTAAAAAAATTACTCACCCTCAGGCCATCCAAGATGTAGATGAGTTTGTTTCTTCATGGCAACAGATTTGGAGAAATTTAACATTACATCACTTGCTCAGCAATGGATTATCTGCAGTGAATGGGTGCCGTCAGAATGAGAGTCCAAACAGCTGATAAAAACATCACAATAATCCACACCACTCCAGTCCATCAGTTAACATCTGTAGAAGCCAAAAGAGAAACAAATCCAACATTAAGATGTTTTTTATTTCAACTGTTGCTTCCTCTATCCATAATATTGCTTTGTCCAGTGAAAAAGTCATCAGGTCTGTATCAGGAGAGAATTATGCACATACCAAGCACTGTTTACAAGCCAAAACAGTTCTGAAGAAATATGTGTGTGGAATTTCTTGTGAGAGGACAACAGGAGATGGACTTTTTTTCACTGGAGGAGTTATTATGGATAATGGACTCATGCTTTAGCCAAAAACAATGGTTTGAAATAAATGGATTTGTCTCTTACAAACACAGTTTTTGTCTTCACAAGTCATTAATTGATGGACTGGAGTGCAGCCAAACAGAGATCTCAACAACACGACGCGTCCATTTAAAAACCTTCCAGATGATTTCAGACAAAAACACTGCAGCTAAAAGCACCTCGTCTATATGTCGTCCTGTTGCAGGTGATGGCAAAACATAGAAAAGCTGCTGGTATTTAGGTCAACATGCTGTGTTATCTGAATACACTGCGTGCGTTGACATGCATAGTGTTTTCTGATTATGTCTAATAAGCTGACAGCAGTTAATAAGCTGTATTTATGATCAGGGCTTATATAAAGTGTGCTCACTAAATGTGTGTAAATCTCTCTAGATTTGATGTCAAGAGTGGAGAAGAATATAATCATTTCAAAATGTCATAAACAGTTTTGATAGGTTTGATAGTTTTAGCATTTTGTTTCGCATGCACACACACCGATGCGCAGAACACTATGTAGAGTGTCACCCAGTTGTCATCGTAGGCCATCTTTCTTTCCCTGTGTCTCTCTAGTTGCTCTAGTGACATTTTTAGTTTTGTTTTAAGGGATTTCATTGCCTCGGGTATGTTTACATCACATGTTTGAAGGACATCAAATATGAAAGTAGCTAACAAAAAACAATATGATCAGTTTTTTAGGACTTTTAAGTTTAGTTTTGTTTTTTTTGCACTGCATTGCTTTATTTTCATGACATTTAAAGGGATAGTTCACCCAAAAATTTTAATTCTGTCATCATTTAAACCTCATGTCATTCCAAACCTGTATGAGTTTCTTTCTTCTGTTGAATATATACAAAGATATTTTGAAGACAGTTGGTAACAAAATAGTCGACGGCAGCCATTGACTTCCACAGTATGGAGGAAAAAAAATACTATAAAAGTGAATGGCTACCGTCAGATGTTTTACTTCTGTTTTTGTTTTAGTTTTTTTCATTATTCTTAGGGCTCACAAAAAAATGTTTGTAAGCAAAAATTAAATGCAGTACAACAAATACTAGCATAAAAATGGCTTAGTTTTCATGAAAATGTCACCATTCGAAGTATCAAATTGGGCTTTATGTTTTAGTCTTTATGTCTTTGTTTTTGTTCATTTTTATTTTTAGTAATTTTATTATGTGCTTTTGTAAGTTTTTCTTGTTTAGTTTTTTTATATTTCTAAAAAAAATTTATTTTTTATTTCAGTTAGTAATTTTGCTCTTTCGATTTAAACGAGTTCAAAAAATGTGTTTATTTTCAGTCTATTTTTTTGTTTGTTTGTTTCGTTTTATTTCAGCTTTATTTCAATGAACAAAATATTTTAAATAATTTTAGTTAATGACACTTTTGATACTGCTCTTAACAGGTTTAGTGAGATTCATAACATACGTGATATAAAGTGCTGAAAATCATAAAATGCAACAGGCAGATAAATTGACAGCAACATTGATCTAAAAACCTGCAAACCTGAAGTTTCTTATTTAAAACTCAAGCACATTATGTGAAAAGCCACAGCCATCAGAGACACTCAGAGATAATGAAGGCTTTACAGAATCCTTCAAATCAAAGTTAAAACGGCCTCACAGACGTGCATGCAGATGTGCATGAAAACATGACTAGATGACGTTTGCGTGCATCTCAATGACTTCCAGTCCATCTGAGCAAACGCCTTTGAAAACTGCGTGTGTGATTTATCTGCCTGTCCACACCATCAGCAGAATTGACAGCGGTTCAGGGGGGCGTGAGCAACACCTCAACATCCGCCTGCGCTTTCTGAATGAGCGCATATATGCATCATAATTAGAAGTAGCGAGATGCTATCGATGTCATCTGAAACTACCATCTCATTGCCAGGCGCCTGTCGCTTGCTTTTCATCGAGTTCGTTCTCTCATGGCAACAGATGGAGAGGAGGAGAGAACGCTGATTCTTTCATCCATCACAGAGATGGAGACGCTCGCGTCTTTAAGACAGACTGAAGCTGTTAGAAATCCAGAAATGATTAATTAAAGGACAAACAACAGCATTGATCCACTTTCAAATAGTCGGCAGGCACAGAAATACTGACAGGCGGATGACAGACAGTGCTTTGGTTATTTATGGATCGTGACGGTCGTGAAATGATCGAATTATTCATGGGAATGTATTAATACATGAATATCAATTGACTGTTGTGTATTCAGTGATGTAGATGAAATCAAATTAACACTTAACACTGAAACAGTGGCTCCGTTCCAAAACCTAACGAGAACTGGCCAAATTCTAAGGCCGTCAAGACAAGGCAATCCCAGAATGCATTGTTCAGTCGCAATCAAACATGGCAGCCAATACGAGAGAAGTGTTGATTATGCAACCATATGAGGTTCCATTTCCACACTCAGATCTTTGTGCAAAAGGAAAATGCACTTTTCCGTCCATTTCTACACGTGTTTCCTGAGCTCAGCTGTATTAAGTTCAATTTCTGATGTGTCATTTGATTATGTAAATTCCTCCTCTGCAGGGGCCAAATATCGCCAGTACTCAGTTGCTGAGAAACAGTGAGGAGACACATACCTTGAATTAAGAGACTTACTAACAAATAAATAATTTGAGTTTATTTGTGTACAGTACCATGCAAAAGTTTGAGGACAGTAAGATTTTATTCAGCAAGGATGAATTGAATTGATCAAAAATGACAGTAAATACATTTATAATGTTACAAAAGTATTCTTGATGGTGAAATCGAATTAGTTTAATTTTGTATACATTTTTTTAAAAGTAAATATTATTTATTTTTTAAATGTTATGGGCCTCATTTATGAAACTTTATGAAAATCTTACTACAATGTAGACTGATTGTACAACATTCTTATGTAAATTATTGCATTTAACTGAATTGAGTGATTTACACCGAAGTTTGTTCTTGTTTCATCTCCTTATTAGATGTTCAGTAGCATAAATGAAAATAAAATACTGCAGAATAAAATGATAACTCTGTGTTATGAATCCCTCAGTAAATGTCAACTACGCAATATGTAAGCTGTCAGAAAATGGGCCATTTACTCATTCGCGATTGTTTTTTAAACCTTTCGGTTGGTTGTCAGAGTATCTGTCTCATATTATTGGCTCACTCCGCTGAAGGCAGATGGTGTGATTGGCTGGGGAAACTAGTTCAAGCAGCCGGTGCCCTTCATCGTCCAATCAGAGGCTTCAGCCAGCATGTGATATAGCATATGGAGTTCTGTGATGTGTTTCTGAATTGCCAGTGGACTTGTGTGGGTGGAAATGGACCAGATCTCACATGAGTCTCAGTTATAGTCAAGATAAAACACTTAGCATCAGTTAGTGTCTTATCAAACCCATCTCAGAGAGAAAATGGCTGATTACACGCTGATTCAAGTCTAATCAACTAACACACTTGAATGTATTTCGTTCATTGCTCATGGACTCCAATCTATCTATCTGGGCTCATTTATGTTTCATTTAAGCATCAACTTTGTCTCAGATGTTTCTCCTGAGATTACTGGGGTGTTTTTCTCAGGAGAAACATCTGAGAAGGAGGAGACGTCTTTATTTGCTCTCCATTTAAAGTTGTTATGTAGGAGAAATAATTCACGCAGTGGATCGGAAATGATTTTGCTTTGCACAGTTTTGTATTCATGTGTAAGCGTCTGTCACATCTCTCTGACAGTGACGTATGTGTTCACACATTTTCAAGGCAATCAGTCCCAAGACGTCTTGTGCGTTATAGTGATTTTAACAGAATTAAAGGGTGTTTATAGGCAAATAATGAGAAATGCAAAAAACAGGTTCGTCTGAAAACGATTCTTCCACCAAGTAATATAGAGTAGAATCGTTCTCTCTCTCTTTCTCTATTGATTGAAACACTCATTTGTTTCTGTCTGTATGTTCCATATCACTTTCTAAAGAAGCGTCAGTCTGACGGCATCAGCTCGTTCCCTTTCCTCCAAAATAGATGCATTTGCATTTCTGGAGAAAGCTCAGTGCAGGTTTAAAGATGGCTTTAATCTCCAGGACATTTTACAATTGCTTTGGCTCAGTGAAGCGCTATAAGGAGACATCTCATCCTTTAAGGAGACAGAAGAGGTTTTGAGATCAGATTTATTCTGGTACTTTCAGTTCTACTAAATTGCTTTAATCAAGGTGATCTGACACAACTATAGATCCACACTAAACACCTTCCTGCTTTCACAGTCTACCACTTTGCTGATTAAAAGATCTGTCTATCTTTCTATCTATCTATCTATCGTCCGTCCACCCATCCATCCATCCCTCCATCCGAGTGAATCAGATGTTGATTCGCTGAATCAATCAGAGTAGTTAGTTGATTCAGTGAAGGATTCATCAGACTGACTTTTAATTTCTTTGAGTCTTTTTGAATGATTCATTTAAAAGAACCTGTTAATGGGAATCATTTCCTCACGAATCAGAATGTCTGTCTGTCTATCATCCATCCATCCATCCGTCGATCTTATGCCAAAGTAATGAAACCTACAGTTCAGTAAGTAAATCAGATGTTGATTCACTGAATCAGAGTAGTTCACTCAGTGAAGGATTCATCAGACTGATTCAAACTGTTAACTTCTGTGAGTCTTTTTGAAAGATTCATAGGAGTCATTTGCATATGAATCGGAATGTTTGTTTTTACTTTTCAGGACAAAACATTTTCTTTTCATTATTTTAAGCACAATCTCAGAAATCATGATGCACTGCATCATTTTCTAGTATAAGAATCAAATTTTTGTTGGTAGTTTGGTGCTATTGTTTTACTGATGTATCATCCTGGCATTATTATTCTTTCTAATGAATTTAAAATGTTCTTATTCAACTAATCAACACATATTTTCTCTCCTTCGGTGTGTTTTCTTCTAGACAATGCTCACTGCCATCTCCATGAGTGCCATTGCCACAAACGGCGTAGTGCCAGGTAAGCAAGCCCCTGCTAGAGCTTAACATGTGCATGTGGGTCGTCTTGGCAACAGGAAGCGGTCACCGTAGCAACAATAACTAGCAATGAGCAGACAACAATATCCTCAAAGCTGTATTTATGTATTCATAATTGGCTGAGCATGTCCTGGCCTAATGACCGACTCGATCTCATCTCCTGATTGGAGCAGAGCCGAAGTGAGGTGAAATTGCCGGGTTCGGTTCCCCATCCGTTGTTCATCAGCAATAGGCTGCTATTATCTCTATAGTGCTAAAAGACACTTTATAAGCATGCTTAATATTTTCCAAGAAACAGGAAGTTGTAATTGTGGGTTGTATTGTGCTATTTTTCTGAGCTGTCAAAATCAGAATGCTTCGTTAATATCCCAGCAGATCATAACTTCCTCAAATTAAAGTTTCCTGAAAGGGTTTTCTGTTTGCATCAACAGCTGGAGGCGCCTATTACATGATCTCTCGCTCTCTGGGCCCTGAATTCGGTGGCGCTGTAGGCATCTGCTTCTACTTGGGCACCACCTTTGCTGGAGCCATGTACATCCTGGGCTGCATCGAGATCCTGCTGGTGAGATAAACAACCTGTGTGTTTTATGAGTGTGTCAATCAGTGGCTTGCAGGGTTTTGTTTTTTACAATCGCTAAGCATTGTTGGGGGTAATGCAAGTTATGTAATCAGATTACTTTTTTTCAAGTAACACATTAGCTCCTTATTAGAGGCCTGACCTAAATGCAATATGTCAAGATCATGTCCGGGTCATAATTCAGTAGAATTTCAATTATTTTCAAATTGATATGATATGATATGATATGATATGATATGATATGATATGATATGAGATATGATGTGATATGATTATTCCACTTTATGAAAAAAGCATATCCTAAATCAAAATGTATGTTTGGGGCCTAAAAAATATGACAAATATAATTTCTTTTCTTTCTTTTTTTTCAGGTCATTTTCAGATGACATAGACATGTTTTCATAAGATTCACCTATTTTTGCCATTAAATAAATATGCAGGGTTGCTAATGGATATACAAACAATATTCAATATATTTACGATATGATGTGATATGATTATTCCACTTTATGAAAAAAGCATATCCTAAATCAAAATGTATGTTTGGGGCCTAAAAAAATATGACAAATATAATTTCTTTTCTTTCTTTTTTTTCAGGTCATTTTCAGATGACATAGACATGTTTTCATAAGATTCACCCATTTTTGCCATTAAATAAATATGCAGGGTTGCTAATGGATATACAAACAATATTCAATATATTTACAATTTTAAGTCATATAAACCATATAGTAGATACAAAATTATATATTAATACAATTTTTATTTAGATTTTTATAAATGTTGAAATATTTTTTTTAATTATTATTATTTGTTGTTATTATTATTATTTATTTATTTTGTATTATTGTTTTTAATCAACCAGTGGTGTTCCCTCAGGATTCAGTGCTCTTCACAGACTGCGTGATCTGCATGAAGGAAGCAAATAAGTGTTGCTGAATTGATGAAACACACACACACACATCTGATCAGCTAGTCGCTATGGTGACCTGTTCGTTTTTATAATATCTGCCGGGTTACACAATACGGCTTTAATCTCAAAGCGCCAGCTCACTTTAAATAGACGTCTTAGTGTCCTTCTGAACTGTAGGCTGGATAAAACTCTCGCTCAAATCAGCATGCTGCGTACCCGCCGATCTCCGAGTCTGGGGAAGATTTTGCACAGACAATGGGAGCTAAGCCAATGTTCCCCCGGAAGAAAGAATTAACCCAGAAGTCAGACAGACTCGAGCCCCCGACCAGCAATATGAAAGAAAATACATGAGCAGCCGAAAACACGAGACGAGCGAGGCTCCGAGGACACGCTAGCGCTCATCAGCGGCGCAATTAAACGCAGAGTCTGCATAATTACTTAATTACTCACTCTAACAGGTGGAGAGGAAAGCAGAACAAGAGAATAATAACGAAGAAATGAAATAAACTTTTAAAAAAATGCATCTAGACACATATGAATTCAGTGTTTTTGCATAACATCCTGACTACTAAAACGTCTTAATCTAGTTGATTTTTGAAGGCAGTTTAGAACGGGGTCCTTCGCTGCCAGTAATGTTGTGTTCATGCATTTCTTTGGTTGATTTAAAGAATAAAAGTCTTTTGATAAAATAGTTTCAGTTCAGCCTCATGTCATTCCAAATACGTATTTGTGGAGAACAGAAGGAGAAGTTTAGCTGAATGTCCAGGCTGCACAAAATAATACAGTTACCAGTGCGCCGAAAAGATCACAAAAGTAGTCCATACTTATGCTTTATATTAAAATGTCTTCTGAAACCATGCAATAGATTTGTGAGAGAAACAGATCAAAATGTAATCTTTTATTCAAGTTAAATTACCCTTTCATCTAGATCGGGGGTGCCCAAACTCGGTCCTGGAGGGCCGGTGTCCTGCAGAGTTTAGCTCCAACCCTAATTAAACACACCTGAACCAACTAATCAAGCTCTTACTAGGCATACTAGAAACTTCCAGGCAGGTGTGTTGAGGCAAGTTGGAGCTAAACTCTGCAGGACACCGGCCCTCCAGGACCGAGTTTGGGCACCCCTGATCTAGACCAAACCAGAAATGTATTTCTTTTAACGGTATAGTCAGTTTCGGTTCCCATTGACTTCCATTGTTTTTTTTTGTCCATACCATGGAAGTCAATGGTAATCAAAACCATTCTTCAAAATGCATAATTATCAAATTATGACAACTATCCCTTTAACTCGTATTTTATTAAATATTATTTAGAAAAAATATGAAGCAATATCAGCAATATCAAAAAATAATAAATAATTAAAATATATTGCTAAATATGAATGTATTTCAATACTTTGGGTAAAAACAGATTTACTTGCGAAAACTTTACAAAAAACATTATAAAGTTGAAAAAAAATGATTAGCTATTCTAATCTTTTTTTTAAACAAAGCAAAATCATGATCTTTCCAAGTACTGCATGAACTGTGCTGCACCAAGTTTAATATGCAGAAGCATGAATGAGATTTGACAGCTATGCTGGAGGGCAAGTTGTATGGACTACTTTTATGATGCTTCATTTATTCAGTTATTCATGGTGCTTCTGAACACAGTATGCTTTCATTGTATGGAAAAGTGCAGTGTGAACAGTCAAAATGGTCCTTTCATGGAGAGACACAAGAATGAGTAATGAGACATAATTATGCTTTAAAAAACTGCCAAGTTTTTTTAATTTGCCAAGGACCAAAACTCTTCACTCAGTGAGCACAACAGCAGTCTATGCAGTCATTGCTTTGGCACAAAAGGCATTCACTGACTACTCTGATATCAGATTTCAAATTCCATGAATTCTTTTTTTTTTTAACTGCTTTGTAAGCTTAAGTTCTAAAAGAAAAGACAAAACTAAGACAGAAATGTGCTACATTTCTACAGCAATACAATACTGGAACATTGTAAATCTTTAAAAAAAAAAAAATTAAATACTTTCAAAACAATTGGATGTACCTGAACACCTACACAGGTGTCAGTGTTTCAATTTCATTATCATCTATACAACAGAGGAAACTAATTTTGCACTGTAATATAAACAAGGACCATGTAACAAATACTGCAGTGAATTCTGACATTTTTAATCATTTATACGAAAGAAAATAATGTGTAATGCTACCTGTTATTAGTGTTTTTTCATTGATTTATAAGGGACAGTGTGTTTGTTGGGTGACTGTAATATTATATTATATTATGTCTTTCTTTTTTGGGGTGAATTATGACTCAGACATGATCTTGACAGATTGCATAAGATTCCTAATAATATCTCACTTTTATCATTCTTATAAAGGGAAAATCCTTAAACAGATTAATGAATGATGCAATATATTGTGCTTAGAGCAGTGAAACGGACCATAGGCACCCAAAAGTTTATGGCATTGAATATAATTTAGGTCAGGCCTCTAATAAGGACTAATGGCGGGCCATTTGCAGTATTAATTCCACGCTTGACTAGTTCAATTAGCGCTTAGAACTGAACTCACACTAGTCTGTTTTACCGCCTGTGTCATTGTGAATCTCACTCATCTCTCATTATTTTGTCCCTCTTTGTCTGTTTGCTCTTCTTTGGCTCTTTTTTGTAGTTTTAGACTTCTTTTTAGATTCATCTTGTTTGTTTGATGAGGTTTGTTTTTATATCTTTTTCTGATATTCTGACCTTTAACCCTCTCCAATCTTGTTTCTTTATTATGTTTGAGTGTGCAGTTTCTGTTATAAACATTAGTCTAAGGGCCCTATCATACACCCGGCGCAAGTGTTTTTACTAGTTTCAGCCCGACGCAGTTCTCATTTTCCCGTCCTGCGCTGCGTTGTTTAAATAGCAAATGCATTTGCGCCCATTTGTGCGTCCATGGGCATGCTGGTCTGAAAAAGAGGTGTGTTCAGGCGCATTGTTGGCGTGTTGCTATTTTGAGGAACTGAAAATAGACTGCGCCATAGACCTCAAACTCAAACCTGGTCTAAAGTCTGGCATAATATTTTTTCTTTGTTATTTAAAGAGTGCGTTAGTAATATGCGCCTATAGACGGGTGCACAACGCGCGTACACTTTGCTTATTACACACACAGGGACGCACAGCAGCACACAAACATTTATGTGAATAGCGAACCCGCCATGGCGCGAGCACAACTGGCTTTTAAAGGGGATGGGAGATGACACTCTGATTGGTTTATGGCACGTTACGCCCAAAACAAACCCATTACTCATTAAGAGAATAGGGACAACCCTTTTTGATCACGCGCCGGGCGCACCGACCGTTTTCCCGTCGTTAAACTAGCAAAAGGGGAATCGGACACGCCCTGAGTGCACCTGCGCCGTGCGCTTTAGACCATGCGCTTAGATCGTTAAAATAGGGCCCTACGCCTTTAAGTCTTCACCAGCAAGTTTGTTAGAAAGATTGATGTGAAACATAGTTCATTTGGTTATTGTATGGATTGAAATAAAGGTAAACTAAATCAGTTTGGTAAGAAATCACAGGTATATAGTATATATTTCAAATTTTATCGATTTGTAATGGCAGAAGGCGTTTGGCATCAGTAATTTTAAGTTATTTTATCACAGAATATTGATTGGCAGACCTAATTATTTTTCTTTTTGGTTCCCTTTCATCCTTTCAATTAATTTGTCCTCCTTGCACCTTATTTTCCCCTCCTATCTCAGGTATACATCGTACCACAAGCGGCTGTTTTTAAGATGGAGGGTCTGGAGGGAGCCGAGGCAGGAACTGAAAATAGACTGCGCCATAGACCTCAAACTCAAACCTGGTCTAAAGTCTGGCATAATATTTTTTCTTTGTTATTTAAAGAGTGCGTTAGTAATATGCGCCTATAGACGGGTGCACAACGCGCGTACACTTTGCTTATTACACACACAGGGACGCACAGCAGCACACAAACATTTATGTGAATAGCGAACCCGCCATGGCGCGAGCACAACTGGCTTTTAAAGGGGATGGGAGATGACACTCTGATTGGTTTATGGCACGTTACGCCCAAAACAAACCCATTACTCATTAAGAGAATAGGGACAACCCTTTTTGATCACGCGCCGGGCGCACCGACCGTTTTCCCGTCGTTAAACTAGCAAAAGGGGAATCGGACACGCCCTGAGTGCACCTGCGCCGTGCGCTTTAGACCATGCGCTTAGATCGTTAAAATAGGGCCCTACGCCTTTAAGTCTTCACCAGCAAGTTTGTTAGAAAGATTGATGTGAAACATAGTTCATTTGGTTATTGTATGGATTGAAATAAAGGTAAACTAAATCAGTTTGGTAAGAAATCACAGGTATATAGTATATATTTCAAATTTAATCGATTTGTAATGGCAGAAGGCGTTTGGCATCAGTAATTTTAAGTTATTTTATCACAGAATATTGATTGGCAGACCTAATTATTTTTCTTTTTGGTTCCCTTTCATCCTTTCAATTAATTTGTCCTCCTTGCACCTTATTTTCCCCTCCTATCTCAGGTATACATCGTACCACAAGCGGCTGTTTTTAAGATGGAGGGTCTGGAGGGAGCCGAGGCCGAGGCCGCCATGCTGAACAACATGCGTGTTTACGGCACGCTGGTGCTCAGCTTCATGGCCATTGTGGTGTTTGTAGGAGTGAAGTACGTGAACAAGCTGGCGCTGGTCTTCCTCGCCTGTGTCATCTGCTCGATCCTCGCCGTCTACGCTGGAGTGATCAAAACCGCCTTCGAGCCGCCGGTCTTCCCGTATGTGCCTCAGCAATATTACAGTCACACATACCAGGACCAGAAACATACTCTACGCTAACCAGGGTTCCCACGGGTCCTTGAAATCCTTGAAAGTTTGTGAATCTGAAAAAAGACATTTCAAGGCCCTGGAAAGTTTTTGAAAAGAAACATACATCGATACAGGTCCTTGAAAGTGCTTGAACTTATTTTGTGCCAGAAGTTTTCTGGAAAAAATTCCATATTATTCCCTCTGCACTCTTAAAAATAAAGGGGCTTCAAAAGGTTCTTCACAGCGATGCCATAGAAGAACCATTTTTGGTTCCACAAAGAACCATTCAGTCAAAGGTTCTTTAAAGAACCATCTCTTTCTTACCTTTTTATAATCTGAAGAACCTTTTTTCACCACAAAGAAGCTTTTGTGAAACAGATGTTAAATGTTAAAGCTTCTTTATGGATCCATTTAGACAAAAATGCTATATTCTATAGCATCGTGAAGTACCTTTATTTTTAAGAGTGTGGTCCGCTAATGTGTTATTTCTCCAACACTTCGTGGCCTATGCATACTAGCTTGCTTGATTTACGTTAGTTACGCGCATTTACGCGTTACGTTAAGTGTTTCTCGTGTTAGGTACTTTGTGTTGTACATTGCCATGACGTTCACGCACGCACGAAACTACTACGATGGTACCTCAACGTTTCAAAGACACACCATGAAATTAATGTTGAATTGCTTTGCTTGTTAAGATAATGTAAACCCATGAGGCAAGAAAAACTTAAAAGCACATTCATATATTTTAAAACTTCTGGCTACATGAGCCTAAGCTCTATTCAATAAACAGCATAGGATGTACCGAATATTCTTCAGTTTTATGCAAAACAGAAATACGTTGAATAGAATCTCTGTCATATGGCCAAAAATACGTAAATGCAACAAAAAAATGTTTTTTTGCATAGTTGTGTTTGACACATGAAAACTGTAAGAATGTATCTTACAAGGAAACACGATGTAACCTTGCTCTCACTTGAAATGTGTCCCCACATTATGTCCTTGAATTTGAGGGAATTGGACCTGGAAAGTCCTTGAAAGCTCATTGAATTTTAAGTTAACCAAGGTGTGGGAACCCTGAAGCTGTCATTTTTTTGTTGTTTAGAAATGATTTTGTTTGAAATGATTTCCACAGAGTGTGTGTGCTGGGAAACCGGACTCTGGTTTGGAAAGGCTTCGATGTGTGTGCGAAGGTCATCGAGAGAGAAAACGCCACGGTCACCACCAAACTCTGGCGGCTCTTCTGCGACTCTGAGTTCCTGAACGCCACCTGCGACAGCTATTTCACCAACAACAACATCACGGAAATACAGGGAATCCCCGGAATGATGAGTGGTATCCTGCGCGGTAAATACAGCCACAAAATGACATTCTATATACTGTATATACAGTGTATATATATATATATATATATATATACATATATATATATATATATGCAGTCAGTTTTTAAAGAGTCTCTTGCAAAATGAAGTTAGTAGTTGGTAAGTTTTTGAACCAGTTCATTGGAACGAACTGCCCAAATGAACCAAATCATTCAAACGAATCAGTCTTCTCAATTCTAATAATAAGCCTAGGAATCATTCCATGGAGAAGCTAAAAGCCTTCAAAACACTCAAACCTACTGATAGACTACATTTTTATATAAAAAAAAAACAACGTCCTTTAACTGAAATATTCAGACATGTCTAGTGTGCTTCTGTTTGGTTCCTGCATCGAGGGAACGGTGCTGAGGGATAAGTATGTTATGTGCTTAAAATGTCTCTTGTAACTTATAAATATGTATAAATATGTCAAGTGATTTAGTGCATGAAAAAATACACTAGCATTTAAATGTTTAGGGTTGGTTCGATTATTAATGTTTTTTAAAAGATGTCTCTTATTCTCAGCTGTGTTTATTTGATCAAAAAAACAGTAATATTGTGAAATATTATTACAGTTTATAGTTACTGTTTTTTATTTGAATATATTGTAAAATGTAATTTATTTCTGTGATGCAAAGCTGAATTCACTCCAGTCTTCAGTGTCGCATTATCCTTCAGAAATCATTCTAATATGCTGATTTGCTGCTCAAGAAACATTGCTGATTATGAGCAATGATGAAAACAGTTGTGCGGCGCAATATTTTTGTGGAAATCATCTGGGGGTTTTTTTCATTCTTCAGGATTCTTTGATGAACAGAAAGTTGAAAAGAACAGCATTTATTTGAAATAGAAATAGTTTGTCCTGACCGCATGTATCTGTGAGAGTGGGATTCTCATCGCTTCTCTGGATAACGTCGCTCCGATTCTCTCCATGTAAGAGGCCATACAGATATACAGCAGCCTTAGAAAGTGTTTGCACATTTAAGTCACACATAAAAATGACTGAATGTCATTGCATTAGGTAATACAAATTCACATCAATCCATCAGTGTTGTTATTATTAACTAAAATTAAAACTAAAACCTTTTTAATACAAATAAAGCAGAAATAAAATATATATATAAATATTACATGAAAACCTAAACTTAAAAGACTTAAATGGAAATGTTGCCTTGTCAGATATCTGGAATAAAGTATGTTGAAGAATATGTTGGAGTAAAATAAGTTAAAGAACTAAAATTGCTCAATAAAGACTGAATTAAAATAGAAATTAAAGGTAAATAGAAATGTTTAAAAAACAAACACATAAACAATAACTGAAATGTAAACTAATATAACTGTTAACTATTAATATAATTATGTCATATAAAATTATATATTTGTTTTATATTACTAAAAAAAATAAATTAAAGGTAAATAGAAATATTAAAACACACACATATATAACAAAAATAAATAACAGAAATGTAAAACTTGAAATTAAAATCAAAACTATCAATAATATTAACTATTAATATAATTATGTTGTATATATATATGACATTTATATTAATATATTTAACAAACATAAATAATATTTAACAGAATTAATAAAACAAACTAAATAGAAAATGGAAAATATGAAAATAAAAGCTAATTCAAGATATTATTAAATACTATAATAGTATATAAATAATATTAAAATATTTATTTCAATTTTTAATAGTTTAAGCTTTAGTTTTAGTTAACATTAATACTTTTTTTTTTTTTGCTTGAAAAGTGTGTTTGGACATTTTTTTTAAATAAATGTTATTTAGTTCAATATTTTTAACAATCACTTTTTAAGACAATCACATTCAGACATTTTAAGTGTGGTTTAAGGGTCCAAACATTTGAGACATAATCCCGGGTATCCGTTTCTGTTTATTGACATTATCGTGTTTGTTTCTCTCGTGTGGCGGCAGGTTTTTCCTCATGTGCTACATGTTTGTGAATCTGGCCTGTGCTGTTCAAACTCTGCTCAGAACGCCCAACTGGAGGCCGCGGTTCAAGTTCTACCACTGGTGAGCTTCAGAGCATCGTGTCTTGCCCTTTGCTGTGGCTTTATTCGTATTTGTACACTAATGTTTGCCTTCCTGTTTTCCAACAGGACTCTATCCTTCCTTGGCATGAGCCTCTGTCTCTCGCTCATGTTCATCTGTTCTTGGTACTACGCCATCGTTGCCATGGGAATCGCCGGCTGTATCTACAAGTATATCGAGTTCCGAGGGTAAGTGGATTGTGACCTGGAGTCGGGGCGCAAACCAAGACGATGGATTAGAATTGAGTTTTAGGCGTTTGACCTGTCAGGATCCCTCGTAATCAGACGGGCCAAGAACAGCTGAAATCTGCTCCAGGGTTTGATTACCGGTACTTTAATGCCTTTCCTGTGGAAACACTTCCAGAGTCAAGCTGAACAGTGACCCGCATCTGTGGCCGGAAATTAAAGAGGAGGAGAAAAGTGGCGGCAGGATTATGGAGTCTGAGGCTGTGTGCGGATTTGAATACTTACTGCATACTGCGCAGTATATACTGTATACTTAAAACCAGAAGCAATTTAAATAGCAGTATGCATATGTCATAGTCATCATTTTAAACAAATTTTAGTCAAAAAAATGGTCAAAATGCAAAGTCAAATTGTGTGCATTGCATTGTGGGATACAGTACCCAGCACAAGGTGCTTTGTTGTATAATGTGCATGTTGCCAGATGTACTAGGTCATCAAGGAATTGCATGCGATCCGAAATATAGCACAACATACATACAATATACTACAGGCAAAAGCACGAGCAGCAACGGAAAACAAAAAATGTAAGCGTCAAATCAGACTAGCTGTTATTTATGATACAGACCGTTTATTTCATACTTGCGTGATTTCCGTTTCAACATTAAATAAAAAGACTTTACGGATAAACCTACATGTTCGGCCAGTTTTCATTATCAGTAGCTCCAATTTACAGGGATCATGTGGAGTTTTATATGGCAGTATGCTTTAAAGTCAGAAAAGAATAGCAGGATATTTGTTAATTTCCTCAATAAATCTGTATCTACAGCTAGAGCAAACATCTATGCTTCATGTACAAGGACTTCAGCCAATATACTTGTGCATCTGATTTCATCTTACGTGTGAATTATTTGGTTTTATTTGAAAAACTGGAGCATGCTGACTTGGCATAGACTCTGATGTGAATTTGCAGGTTCAACAGCTCTCATAAGTAATAAATAACGTGATATGCAGCCAATGGTAACTTTATTATAAGAAAACACACACACAAATACTTTTATCCCTGTTTGCTTCTACAAGGCATCTGTTACACACTTGGTATGGAGAGTGGACACCCACCGGCAGAAACATAGATCGGTGCTTATGACTGTGGATACTGTATATATGCAGTAATTTGTTAGAATGGCATTCTGAACATAAACAGAGTGTGTGAAAAAGACGTGTGTCTGTCTGTGCTGACAGGGCGGAAAAGGAATGGGGGGATGGAATAAGAGGTCTGTCTCTCAGCGCGGCCCGGTTCGCCCTTATGAGGCTGGAAGAGGGACCACCACACACCAAGAACTGGAGGTGAGTGCAAATACGTACAGATTACATATATATACGTAATTGTATCATTTATATATTTATATTACTAGTGTGTGTGTGTGTGTGTGTGTGTGTGTGTGCAGTTGAAAAATATGTTGAGTAAAATAAGTTGAAGAACTAAAATGAGTAAAACAAAGACTGAAATAAAAATGTATTAAAGCTAAATATAAATAAAAAATTACTATAAATTACTAAAAGGTTAAAAACTAAACGTAAAATCAAAACTGTTAATATAACTATTAATTAAAGGGTTAGTTCACCCAAAAATTCTGTCATTAATTACTCACCCTCATGTCGTTCCAAACCCGTAAGACCTCTGTTCATCTTCAGAACACAATTTAAGATATGTTTGATGGAATCTGAGAGCTGTCAGATCCTGCATAGACAGCAACGCAACTGAAACGTTCCCAGGCCCAGAAAGGTAGTAAGAACATCGTTACAATAGTCCATGTGACATCAGTGACTCAACCTTAACGTTATGAAGTTACGAGAATACTTTCTGTGCGCAAAGAAAACTAAAATAATGACTTTGTTCAACAATTCTTCTCCTTCGTGTCAGCGTCCGCCGCCATTCACAAGAGTACCATGACGCATGTGTATTTTCAAAATATTTATATTAATATATTTATATGTAAAAATATTTATGTTCATACCTATATTTAGCTGTACATTTATATATATATATATATATATATATATGTTTCTAAAATATATGAATATATTTTAATTATGTAGATATTTATATTTACTAGATTTATATTTATACATATTTATGCCGAATTTAAAAGGTACAGTATTTATATTATTAGCCTTATTGTGCACGTGTAATCTTCTTTAAGTTTTGACCACTACTCTCTCCTGCATTTGGCTCTCCTCAGGCCTCAGATATTAGTCCTGGTCAGCATGGATTCTGAGCTGAATGTGGAGCAGCCGCGTTTGCTGTCTCTGACCAATCAGCTGAAGGCTGGGAAGGGTCTGACCATCGTGGGCACAGCGCTGGAGGGAACCTACCTGGAAAACCATCCTCAAGGACAGCAGGCCGAACAGGTGACATTCACACAAACACAGACACAACAAGGCTAGTGAGATATCCACTACTTAGACAGCTTACGTTGGAACTTAATTGTGATATTTACTTGGGTAAACTTTGTTTTGTGTCTCAAAGTCTCTGAGGAAGCTCATGGAGGCGGAGAAGGTGAAGGGTTTCTGTCAGGTGGTCATCTCTTCTAACATGAGGGACGCCACGTCACATTTGGTCCAGGCCGGAGGTTTAGGAGGTCTTCTGCACAACACCGTACTGGCCTGCTGGCCGCGCAACTGGAAACAGGCCGAGGATCATCAGAGCTGGAGAAACTTCATTGGTGAGAGGCAGAAGCACTGTTTCTTCCAATTCACTCTTATTTAAAGGTTCTGTGTTGGCACTGATGATTCCACGAAGAGCCTTTAACAACCATTGAACCTTTACTTTCCTCAAAAGGTTCTTTATAGTGGAAAAGGGTTCTGTAGATTTTTTAAATGTTCTTCGCACTACACTCATAAAAAATGTGACCCTGGACCACAAAGTGTAAATTTTTCAAAATTGAGATTTATGCATCACCTGAAAGCTGAATAAATAGGTTTGTTAGGAGGACAATATTTGACTGAGATACAACTATTTGAAAATCTGGAATCTGAGGGTGCAAAAAAAATCGAAATATTAAGAAAATCAGCTTTAAAGTTGTCCAAATGAAGTTCTTAGCAATGCATATTACTAATCAAAAATTAAGTTTTTATATATTTACGGTAGGAAATTTACAAAATATCTTCATGGAACATGATCTTTACTTAATATCCTAATGATTTTTGGCATAAAACGAAAATCAATAATTTTGACCCATACAATGTATTTTTGGCTATTGCTACAAATATACTCCAGCGACTTAAGACTGCTTTTGTGCAAAAAAGACTGAAATAAAAATGTATTAAAGCTAAATATAAATAAAAAATTACTATAAATTACTAAAAGGTTAAAAGCTAAACGTAAAATCAAAACTGTTAATATAACTATTAATTAAAGGGTTAGTTCACCCAACAATTCTGTCATTAATTACTCACCCTCATGTCGTTCCAAACCCGTAAGACCTCTGTTCATCTTCAGAACACAATTTAAGATATGTTTGATGGAATCTGAGAGCTGTCAGATCCTGCATAGACAGCAACGCAACTGAAACGTTCCCAGGCCCAGAAAGGTAGTAAGAACATCGTTACAATAGTCCATGTGACATCAGTGACTCAACCTTAACGTTATGAAGTTACGAGAATACTTTCTGTGCGCAAAGAAAACTAAAATAATGACTTTGTTCAACAATTCTTCTCCTTCGTGTCAGCGTCCGCCGCCATTCACAAGAGTACCATGACGCATGTGTATTTTCAAAATATTTATATTAATATATTTATATGTAAAAATATTTATGTTCATACCTATATTTAGCTGTACATTTATATATATATATATATATATATATGTTTCTAAAATATATGAATATATTTTAATTATGTAGATATATATATTTACTAGATTTATATTTATACATATTTATGCCGAATTTAAAAGGTACAGTATTTATATTATTAGCCTTATTGTGCACGTGTAATCTTCTTTAAGTTTTGACCACTACTCTCTCCTGCATTTGGCTCTCCTCAGGCCTCAGATATTAGTAACTAAAATAATGACTTTGTTCAACAATTCTTCTCCTTCTCCTTTATATTAATATATTTATATGTAAAAATATTTATGCTCATACCTATATTTAGCTGTACATTTATATATATATATATATATATATATATGTTTCTAAAATATATGAATATATTTTAATTATGTAGATATTTATATTTACTAGATTTATATTTATACATATTTATGCCGAATTTAAAAGGTACAGTATTTATATTATTAGCCTTATTGTGCACGTGTAATCTTCTTTAAGTTTTGACCACTACTCTCTCCTGCATTTGGCTCTCCTCAGGCCTCAGATATTAGTCCTGGTCAGCATGGATTCTGAGCTGAATGTGGAGCAGCCGCGTTTGCTGTCTCTGACCAATCAGCTGAAGGCTGGGAAGGGTCTGACCATCGTGGGCACAGCGCTGGAGGGAACCTACCTGGAAAACCATCCTCAAGGACAGCAGGCCGAACAGGTGACATTCACACAAACACAGACACAACAAGGCTAGTGAGATATCCACTACTTAGACAGCTTACGTTGGAACTTAATTGTGATATTTACTTGGGTAAACTTTGTTTTGTGTCTCAAAGTCTCTGAGGAAGCTCATGGAGGCGGAGAAGGTGAAGGGTTTCTGTCAGGTGGTCATCTCTTCTAACATGAGGGACGCCACGTCACATTTGGTCCAGGCCGGAGGTTTAGGAGGTCTTCTGCACAACACCGTACTGGCCTGCTGGCCGCGCAACTGGAAACAGGCCGAGGATCATCAGAGCTGGAGAAACTTCATTGGTGAGAGACATTTCTTCCAATTCACTCTTATTTAAAGGTTCTGTATTGGCACTGATGATTGATGATGATTAATAACCATTGAACCTTTACTTTCCTCATAAGGTTTTCAAATAAGCTTGAAAGACTTGATTAGTTGGGTCATTCTATTTATTTATTTACCAATCGCCAATCTTGAAAAATAACTTTGAGAATTGTTTCCAATTCACTCTTATTTAAAGGTTCTGTATTGGCACTGATGATTAATAACCATTGAACCTTTACTTTCCTCATAAGGTTTTCAAATAAGCTTGAAAGACTTGATTAGTTGGGTCATTCTATTTATTTATTTACCAATCGCCAATCTTGAAAAATAACTTTGAGAATTGTGAGGGGGAAAAAATGTGAGGTGTAAAAATGAGGTGTTACAATTGTGTTGACATCTTACAATTCTGACTTTTTTTCTCAGTTTATTCTTCACAATTCTGAGTTTATATCCTGCAATTCTGGGAGAAAAACAAGTCATAATTGCAAGATCTAAACTATTTTATTCAGTTATTCTTACAATTATGTCAATACGCATATTTAAAAGTATACATTTATTTATATTACTACATCCGAAATAGATTCACATTTACTCAAATTTTTTATTTTAAGCTATTGTTTTAATTATATTATTCAATTATTCCTGTAATTATAAGTCACTATACATGTATTCCTAAATATATTTCTATTTATTTTCTCTTGGTCTTATTGTACACAATTAATCTATTTAAAGTTTTGACCAGCATTTACATAACTTTCCTATTTACTCTTGGATCAGCGATGGAAAAATACTCTTCATTGTTCTTTGTAGAATTAGATATAAATCCAAAGAATTAAATACAATTAATAATATTTAATTCAACATTTTTTGAATATATTTTACTACATATAATTAAATCTTTTTATTGAAAAAAATTATTTGTATTTGGAACTTAAAGGATACAAGCTGAAAACCTAGATTATGCATAAGAAATGAATGATAAGTCTGAAATCAGTGCAAAAACAGCTTCACATTATGAAACACCAACAAAAAAAAGTCTAAAATCAGTAAAAATAATACATTCGTGAGCGTAAGTAATAAATATAACCGTGCCTTCATTACAGAGCTGGTAAGAGAAACCACCGCTGCCAGTAAAGCCCTGCTGGTGCCCAAGAACATTTCTGCCTTCCCGTCAAACGGAGAGCGCTTCACAGAGGGTCACATTGATGTGTGGTGGATCGTACATGATGGAGGCATGCTCATGCTGCTACCGTTCCTCCTCCGCCAGCACAAGGTATGTGCTTTAACTCTTCATTTCTATCAGAATGACGCATAGTTAAGTGACTGCAGCTCACATGTTGATATCTGTGGATGATGTTCTGTAGGTTTGGAGGAAGTGCAAGATGCGCATCTTCACTGTGGCCCAGATGGACGATAACAGCATCCAGATGAAGAAGGATCTGACAACCTTCCTGTATCACCTGCGCATAGACGCTGCAGTGGAGGTGGTGGAGATGGTAATGCACACACTCTCGCCGTTGCACTTGTACTACTCGTGCTCAAAAGCAGTTTTGAGAGAGGATGACATTTTGTTGACAAGTTGAAAATCTTACAGGGTTCATGAGAAATGAAGGTGAGCAGATCGAGATCAGAAATTAACTTGGGTTGTATATTTAATATTTGTGACCCTGGAGCACAAAAGCAGTGTTAAGTCGCTGGGGTATATTTGTAGCAATAGCCAACAATATATTGTATGGGTCA